AACTTAAATTATTTGTATGTTACCAACTGAAGTATATTTTGATAAACATTTTTTTCCTTTTCTTCTGTGTGAAATTGGACGCATACAAATAAATGCATTTGGGATCATGGATAATGGTAGCATGTAAAAATCAAAACTCTTTTACACCTTTTCTTATTTATTTTTCTGGTCATATTTTCCGTCCGTCATTCCATCACTTCCTTCCACATGTCTTCACTCACACAGAGCGTGATGTTCTTAGTGTCGTGACTCTGAGACCTTTATTTGCAGAAGCTGAATCACTGACTGAAACCAAAACCTGCTCCTGAGCTAATAGAAACAAGCTTCCAGTGTCTGTTGTAATAATGAGACCTTCACATAGGATCATTTAAACTTTAAAAACCATTAAATCTTATAAATATGTCTACCTGAGTGGAGAAGGACATATTTATTACATCATCTGTTTCAAATTAGTGGTTGCTTCCTTCCACTTTATATAATATAATGGAGAATACCAATCCAGTCACACAATACTTTGACCATACTTGACCCTCAAAACAAGAGAAGAACAACATAAAAGAGTGTTTTCTTTATTTCAAAGTAATTCCCCATTTCTACTGAACATCATCCTGCAGGTTTTGACTTATTCTAAATCAAAGAAGTTCTTGCCCTCAGTCCATCATGGTTTAGTATTGTCAGCTCTGCCTGAAAGACAAAAGTCCTTCAATTAATTTAATATAGATTCGTTTTCACTGGAACAAGAAAACATAAACTGAACATGTTCCTGTGTTTACAGATGTTGCTGTGTCATAATTTCTTCGTGCCTCCCCCAGTGTTTGTAATCTGATAACCTTTGATTTGTCTTGATGTTTATAGTGCTATCTGTGGAGGACTGGTGTTTACCCAGATCACTGTAATCAAGTTGTGAGTGGTTCAGTTCAAACTCTAGTGTTATACACTGTTGTAAAATATTTAAATATTTAATCTCTCTCTCTCTCTCAGCTGTGACACTGCAATGACCTCACTCGGGTGGTTATCCTTGTTGCACTCCCTCCTTGTCCTACAAGTCCACTGGTCCAACCAGTTAGAGGACAACAAGATCCCCCCCAGTCTGTGTACGGGTCACCCTGGTATCCCGGGCTCTCCTGGAGTTCATGGCAGTCCTGGTCAGCCAGGAAGAGATGGGAGGGACGGGAGAGATGCTGCTCCCGCGGAGAAGGGAGAGAGAGGGGACAGGGGAGACTCAGGTGTGTATGTGGTTTAAGTAGGATTTATGTTGTGGGGACCTAAATCTGTTTACATGGTCACAAAATAAAGATAAACCAATTCCCATAATGTAGATGAAGATGACACAGGTTTTGGTTAAGGTTAGGTTAAGGTTAGGTTTAGTTTAGGTTTAGGCTAAGGTTGGGTAGGTGTCCAGGAAATCAATGTAAGTCAATGTGATGTCCAGAGACACAACTGTTTTTGTGTGTGTGTGTGTGTGTGTGTGTCTCTCTGGGTGTTCATGTCTGTGCTCCTCTTATTCTCCAGGTGAGACAGGAGTACGAGGCCTGATCGGAGACAAAGGCGACCCAGGTGAGAAGGGGGAGAGGGGCCAACAAGGCGAGTGTGCCGTGGCCCCCAAATCAGCCTTCAGTGCCAAACTATCTGAGGGCCACACTCTACCCCTCACTGTGGGCGACGCCCTCCGCTTTGACAAGATCCTGCTGAATGAACAGGGCGACTACAACACTGAGACGGGGCGCTTCACCTGCAAAGTCCCTGGAGTGTATTACTTCAGCGTCCACGCCACAGTTTACCGTGCCAGCCTGCAGTTTGACCTGATGAAGAATGGACACACGGTGGCATCTTATTTTCAGTTTTATGGAAACTGGCCCAAACCGGGGTCACTGTCTGGTGGCTCCCTGCTCCACCTTGTCCCTGGGGACCAGGTGTGGGTCCAGATGGCTCTGTCAGAGTACAACGGGTTTTACTCCAGCACCAAGACGGACAGCACCTTCATCGGCTTCCTGGTGTACTCTGAATGGAAAAACTCTGCTGTGTTTGCATGACGTGTGCTCATGAACAAAACAAAGTCACTTTCCTTTGTGGGAAATGAACACAACCTTTTTATAAGATTCCTAATTGAGATTTTCTGGATAATGACAAGTGAACTGGCTGTGATGTGCCACAGCTGTATTTGTGTATGAACAGACAATTCTCCTTGAATGGCACATACCGTACTGGTGAAGTGTGAGGTGCACACACGGAGCACCGATGTTTGTTCAGTGTCTGTTCTTCAGTTGACAGACACTTGATTCTTCTACCAGATGTTGCAACTAAACCAACCAACTCCAGGCCACCGATTCTAACAGTCTTAATAATGCACTTTGTTTCTGCTCAGTGAACATAAAACATGAATAAATCATTTTAGTTTTTGAAACACACTCGACTGATGTTTTTGGTCACAGCTTTACACTTAAATGTGAGATCGCTTTTGCCAGGAGTTTCAAATGATTCAAACATGAGCGTGGAGCCACTTACTCATAACACACCTGCTTGTAAATACAGCAGATGTTTTATTATACAGATGTTTATTCATTTTCTGTTGGTGGAAGTACCAACAAAACACTACAATCACTCTTCACTCCCATTTAAGTAAAAGCACAGAAGAAATCATGAGCAACATGGACCCCATCCATCCATCCATCCATCCATCATCCATCCATCCATCCATCATCCATCCATCCATCCATCCATCCATCATCCATCCATCCATCCATCCTTCATCCATCCATCCATCCATCCATCATCCATCATTCATCCATCATCCATCATCCATCATTCATCCATCCATCATCCATAGATATATCCATCCATCCACCATTATCCATCCCTCCATCCATCCACATCCAATTTTTGATCTGCACGTGTTTGGACTGTGGTACTGAGAGTAAACCCACCCAGACACAGGAGCACATGAAATTGTATTCAGAGAGAGAGAGAATAAAACAAAAAGAAAATCGATTTAGATTTAAACAAATGAAACAATAAATACCCTCACGGGCAAGATGAGTGTGTCTAATTGGCCGGTCAGTGGGCAACCTGCTGATTAGCTCAGCTCTGGCATAAAAACAGGAAAAAAATATTTGTAACTTGTATCTTCACTGTCACAATGAAAAATGTGCATATCCATTACTCAGACTGTGAAACCTCAATGTTCAAAATATTCCTGCACAAATCTCAATTACACATCAAAAATATCTCTAAACTCTGTAACTCATGTTAATATAGTTTCTAAACAGTTTTCAGGTCATTTGATGCAGTTATCACATTTACAGGCCTCAGGGAAGTTGACATGTCTGTTGGAGGTCTGAGCAAACATCCACCTCTAACTATACTGCCATCTATTGACTATACTGATCCGTTCATACGAGACAATAGAAAGCAGTAATTCACTTTTTCTCCCTGTAAAATGATTCATGGAGCAGAAAAGAAGAAAAAGTAAAGTTATTTTGGATTTCTCTCTCCTACTTTACCTAAATGAGCCTCAAATTGTTACTTGAATGAGAACATCTGGGACGTTTGGAGAGTGAATCCACAGAACAACTCACAGGCATCTGAAACATGACAATGATGTTACATGACGTGCAGTGGGAATGATTAGTACCTGAAGCTGACTGGTGTTTGCTGTGCCACATTTTGCTTTACAGGTTTTCATTGTTTTGGTCTGGTTCACTGACCCGTGCATGAGGGCGTTCCCACAGGAGAGGGCGGAGTGAGGGACCCCTCCCCAGCACAGGTGTCAGGTATATTCAATCTGGAATCAATGCAAACTCAATGTCCCCCAGGAACCATTGGATGGGATTCACCTGACCTGATTAGGGCGTCCATCCAGGCCCTCCAGCAGAGCATCCTCAGGTGGGTGGTATTTCCCCTCATTATGTTGAGTAACTGGAGGCAAACACATTGAAGATCTTAACTAACCATCATCTTTCCCTGCACCAGTTGGATCTGACCCCTCCCCATATTGACCATTGTGCTTTAAATAAAAATAATAAATTAATAACACTTGGTGGCCCGTACCTTCAATCTTTATAACACACTGAAACATGAGACACTTTTTTGAGGAGTCATCAGCCAAAAATGCCTACAACCAATACTTTAACAGTCAGCATTGCACTGCTTTTTTCTTCATGTTGCATAAGATTATTTTTCACGTAAATTAGCCACAGCTGCTAAATGAATGTAGCGGAGCAAAGGGCAAAGTACTTGAGGAAGTGCACTTATACTTTCCACCTTTGCCTGATTGATTTACTTTTATTTTGGATTTTATTAATAAAACACTCATTTCTCTGTTTTTACTCTCACAGGCAGAGCCCTACTAGATTTAATGTCTTTAATGAGAATGCCTGGAAAAGATTCATTTTCCACTGAGTTCACAGTGTTTACCTTCGTCTGATGATTCCACCAAACGCTGTGAGTCCTGTGAGAGACTCTGAGAAGCTAATAGATGTCATCTCCCTCTCTCCGTCTCCTAAATCAAAAAGAACATGTTATTTTTCACAGTTTACTGAGTGAAGTCTCTGTCATTCTTTCTGACATTTTCTTGAGGCCTGATTTAAGGGACTAAAAACTGACAAGACCACAGCCTATGGGGGTGCACTCTGTGCCTGTCAAACACACTGTACCTCAGACATGAGCAAATGTTATTTTTCCTTCACTCCCACAGTGTCTGACATATAATTGGGCTCTAAATATAACCCCATAACTGTTTCTCTCTGGGACAGAACCAGAGGAGCAGGACGTTAATCAATCCTCCTCTGGCTTTAATCAGTTATTTCAATTAGTTCACGGCCTGTAAATTGAAGCTGATGACCAAGCAGACGGTGACATCACTCTGTGAACGAACTGGGTGGGTGTTTGTTTGGGTGGAGGAGAGTGACGCAAGAGTATGACATCTGGATTAAATAATGCAGATGAGTGAACATGCACAAAGAAGAGACAGGGCAGTATCAATGATTTAAGAAAATGCTGAGGTCAAAATCCACCACTTTAAAACATGTTTCATTTACCTCCAAAAGCCTTAAAAACATCATTCTCATTCTGTTTGCCATATTACCAAATCATATATTTCATGTCCCTGCATGAATGTCTAAATATCATTTTTAAGATCCATTTTGAAACTTTCTATCTAAAATTCTCTCTATCTAGACATTTCTCTTGGAAATATGTAGGCATTTCTGTAATATCATAAGCACTACAAGGTGAATAAATGACACTTTTTTCAGTTTGGCTCAAACAAGCAAGACATAATATGTTAGTGTTAGTTATATTCTAAATTAGCTGATGTACAAGTTTTAAGTTAAATGATTAAAAAGAAAAGAACTGAATCATCCATCAGATCGTGAACTTCTCCTCAGGTCAACAAAAACCCCAATTCACCAAAAACAATATCAAAAAATTTTTTTTGTCCTCAATGAGACAATCTGCTCTCTGACGTCACCTTCTTCAGAGGTGGTCCAGCAGGGGGCAGAGTTGTAACAGCATTCAGCAGCTTAACTCTGCAGGAGCACCTTCAGTCTGCTTCAGATGACGTAACCAGGACTGATGTTGTTACAGCTGTTTCCATATCTGCCTCTAAAAACTGACCTGAGGTGCTTATATGATGAGTATAACAGCAGTTCTGGGTGTTATCAATAGATCAGACAGGAATGTATGGTACATAAGGATTCCAGTCATTATTTACTGATCACATCCTTCAGAAGATACAGGCTAGAATCTCATGAGATTAATGCAAAATTAAAGGTAAGTGGTATATTTGAATGATAACTGCTAAATCAAGACCTTACTGGTCACATGTTGACACTTACCAGAGGAAATGTGTGCATATATTCAAAACCACCTTTCCTTCATGGCTCTTCCCATAGTCTAGTTTTTCAGAGGATGTTCTCAAGAGTTAAAAAAGTAATTTCTAGTGAAATTGAGTGCTTCCGTGTGTTGCTGTTGGACGAGAAGTTCAGATCAACAACTGAAATTGATGTTTAATGAGACACTTTATGAAAGAAATATTCAACAGTGGACCTCAGTTATGCTGTTGTGGAACAATTACGAACAAGTTCCAGCGAGGTTTACTTTGAACCCGACTTTACCTTGTAAGGTCATTACTGGGAGGATTTCTTAACAGAAAAAATGCAGAATTCATTTTTGGAGGATGGAATCAGATACTTTACTGCACAAAGTAACTAAACAACCTCAAACCGACTTCAGCCATCAAAATAAATAGCTTTTCTTTTGTGTTATTCTTGGTGATATCATGCTCATATTCATTTCTAACAAACTATTATTTTCAGGGTGCAGATTTTGCCTTGATGCTGACAAAAATCTGTTTTCTGTCAGCATGACAATCAAATAAAACCCCCATCTTCACAATGATCTCCATTTAGATCATAATGGGACCACTGAAGATTTAAGTTAAAGAGGTTAAACACTATTTAGATAGATAGATACTTTATTGATCCTGAGGGGAAATTTAGGCATCCAGTAGCATAAACACCAGTCAAACACACACAAGAGCATAAAAACCATAAAAAGTCAAGAATAAGTACATTTAATCTATAGTGGGATGAAAGTCTCACCACAAGAACAACTAATATATAAGATGAGTAAGTATGATTGAAAGTTTGAGGTGAGAGAAGTAGAGTACAGAAACTCAAGCAACTGAGCCTGAGTACTGTTGCCAAATATAAATACGGATTTAAAGATAAATATGTGAAGCTAAACAACGTTATGGTGCAGTGAAAAACTGTGGAAGAATAAAACTTCAAATATAAAAACTAGAGATATAAAAAAATAGTATATGTAAAATCAAATAAAGATAAGCCTGGTAACATGATGTATGCATTTCATTTTGCCATAGCTGAGAGGAGTTGTACAGTCATGGCCGGGGGGATACAAGACCTCCTCAGTCTCTGTTGGGCAGGACTGAGACAGCAGTCTGTCACTGGGGAAGCAGTGCACAGTTCTGGTGGGAACAACAACTTCCATGCAGAAGTTCCAATGGTCAGTAATGCAGTGTGTGACCTGATGTCCCTTCTGTGTGGTTCCTGCAGCACACTCTCATCAAATCTTTGTAATTGTAGCTCATTCAAATCACTTTACAGAGATTTCTATCTCCACGTTCACCTCACAGGCTTTTTATCTGTTTATCAGTGTCAGAAAAACCACATTAAATCACCTTAGATTCAGTGTTATCAAACGTTCATCAGAAGCACATATCTATCTGAACCGTTTTTAAATTGCCTCACAGCCCTGGTTCTGATCTCTTTGTGTTGGGAAACAGTGGCACATTTCATCTCTCTGTCAGGCTGAAGGTTAAAGTTTAAATACTACGGGGGGGCCAACCCGACTCCAGTGACCTGATGGCTATCATCCAGCTTCCTGCAGCGGGAGTCACCACCAGCTTTAAGCTCTGTGATGCCCATTCATCACACACTGTGTTTATTCAAAGCCATCAGGATTATCAGTGGTAGAAATCTGCTAATTAAAACCAACATCTTCATCACAGTACAGTCAGGGCTGAACGTCTGGGTCTTTATCTCACTGTCAAACAGCTGAGTTCACTTAATTCACTCTTTTCTCTCTCTGACTCTTTTGTTTCACTCTTCCTTTTGTAGATCTCTAATTTTATCTTCAATCTATGTCTCTTCTGTTTGTCTTTGCATCAAGCCGGAGGACTCTGTCACTTCAGGCTTGTCGATATATCAGAAATAGAAACATCAACTAAAACCTCCTGTAGTTTGTCTTGGTTGAGACAGTCTCGTGTGGTTTATGGGGCCCCTTACAGGGAGGTCAGGGGTCGGTGCTGCGCTGTTCTTCTGTGGCTCCATAATGTCGGTATGAGAGAATAATTTATAAAAAATGTATACACAGTGACAGGTTTTTATAAATGGTGGCTACTGGCTATAATATGATTACGTAGTGCTGCAAGCCACATCCCAAAAGTACTAACCCGCGAGACCAGGGACTTTTTGGGGGTTAAAGGATTTACCCATAACTTTATTTAGATCCCGGTCCCTGTGGTGGAAACACAGAGTTCATGCAAAGCTTCCAAGTTCCAGGAGAAAGTTCATGCTGTCACCTTTGACCTTTAGCATCACTGTTCTGAAGCCCTGGACTCCTCTGGTTTTGGAGAAGTTTTCCCAGTCATAAAGAGGCCAGGTTTAAAACAGACGAGAGATGATAGAGAAATCAGATGCCACACTGAGTCAGCATAAACAGAAAAAATACATCCTGAGTGAGGCGGACAAAAGTGCTCTTGGGTTTGACATTTTCCCACACTGCTCCCAACCGGGACCCCCAGAGTCTGAAGGAGGAGGTCGAACCCCCAGAGTATCAAGCTCTCCTCGGTTCACTCCTCCCTGCTCGTCCCCCCTCTCCGACATTAAACTTCCTCCCCTCTGTTAACACCACCCCATTAACAATTAACTGGTAAACACAGCAGAGGCAGGAATCATGGGTCAGGACACAATAAACAACCTCTGGATTCGTTTTCCGATCCCTCTAACAGCTTGTTTGCTTGTTTGTGGACATCATGTAGAAACCTCTGAGTTATAAAGATGAGTAAAAGATGCCGGGGTCGTGTTCACAGACACGTAACATCTCATTGTATCCTTTTATCTCTGCAGATGTTGAATGTGGAGCTGGGGATATTTTTAGAGAAAACTTTGGGAACAGGACCGGACCCCCTGCATCACAGGCCTCTGGTGAATTGTCGTATGTTTGTGGAAGTAGTCCCTTGTGCATCAGGGCCTCCTCTCCTCCTCTACACTACAGCTCTGCTAGATCCCCCTTTACTTCTGCAGATACAGGACATGACAGTTCTGCTTTTAGATAAACATTGTTCCGCCCACAACTATTTCCATTTGTAGTAATCTGCATATGAAGGACACAGTCTGTGTGGACTGTTTAAAAACCTAGTAGAATCAGTATGATTAAATTTGAAATATACCAAAGGCCATGTTTCCTTTCATCTCATGTCAAAGTTTATCCTGGTGTACACATACTGTACCTGTGGCCGGAAAGAAATTGAGTTGAGTTGTTCATTTTCTACTTGTGCGTACATTTTAAGGGCTGATGTATTTACTTAAATAATTGATTAGGCAATCTTATTGCTGCACTGCTTATTTTAAGTTTTGTTCTGTCAATAGGACACAGGACAATTTAAGATGTAACAACAGACTCATGGAAATAGTTTTGTCCCATTTCCGGACATTCTACAGGACATGTTTTTCTGTGGTGTTTTTGTGAAGGAATGGAATTAGTTCAACCCCCAAATAACCCTCAAACAATAAGGAGTATAGATAATGACTCAATATTAACATGTGTAATGTGTTCAGTTGGTGAGAGGTCACAAGAACCAGTCTTGACTGTTGTTTTATTATGAACATTCAACTTATCATTATGTGGCAGCCACAGCATTAAAAAAAACACACAAATTACATTCACGTCTTCAAATGGCATTGTCCCACACTGTCATAATGACTGCAGAGAGCAGCAGTGATGGTCATGTGAGTGGTTTCAGTCCACTGCAATCTGTAGTTGGGGAATGCTGTACATTAGCATTAAAGGAATACCTGAGAGAGATCTATGCTGACTACAGTCTGGTCCCCAGAAATCTTTTACAACCTCATCCAACACTCAGTCACTCTCATTAATGATATTTGAGTAAGATACTAAAGACACATAGTAGTGTCAGTAATTTGTATTAAATGGCTCCTGTCACAAAAATAATGCAGAACTCTTATTTTTCTAAACAAACAAATTATTTAAACAAAATGTTTCAAAAGGCAAATGAGGTTAAAAACAGCCCTCTTCCCACAGATCTCACACCTCCACACCAACCACCATCGATAACACATAAGTGGCATCATAACATTGCCCTTTAAACACCGATCAATGACAACACGTCAGCTTCAACAGCTACAAATATAAAAACAAATGAAATTGTGAACCCTTATTAGTTTATGGTCCTTTTATACAATAGGAAAGAGAAAACCTTTTATGGATCATGTGAGGGGGTGACTGTAACCTGCCTCTGATGCAGGACTGGAACATGTCCTATCAATAGAACAAATAAATGGAATAAAGCTTTATTTTTGTCACTGGCTGAACAATTATAAATGACCATCCTCAAATCCAGAAAACCTTTGTTAACTCTTACATGGCTCCATGCAGTATATTCAAATTGTAAAAGCTTCCACTGCAACAAAAAGTAATGGTGTTGATTTGAATATACTGTTAAATATACATGTGTGTAATCACTAGTATACTCATGCATGCGTTGGTATTCACAGCTTGGTCGATAAAAAGCGCATTTTAAGACAAGAGCAGCGGTAAACATTTCAGCATCAGCAAGGGAGGGCACTTACGGGTTACCGTGGCTACGAGAGACCTCAGACTCAGCGTGGCAACACGGGATCATTTTTGAACGGGTTCATCACACTGGCAAAACAGAGACTGTAGCTGTGACGCACATCCATATAACAGGAAGTGTTCACACTTGAAAAGCAACAAAATGATCAGTACAAATACCAAACCCCTTTTATTATCCCACGGTTGAATGCACAAGTAATGGAAAAAATAGTGGTGAAACAGTCCAGTTATATTTTAGAAAATAAGCCTTTTGCAGTCTCTTTTAGAGCCACAATGTTTTATCAATCACGTAACAGAAATAAAATTAAGCCGCAGATATGTTGTTAATGGATTAACTTTATCAGTTTTTTTTTGCCTTATCCTATTCTGATTTCAGCTTCACAAAATATGTATTTTTTTATCACATATGGTGGGAAACTAGTGACGACTGTTGTTTGCTTAAATCACCAGTCCACAAACAACATTTTCAGGACATTGCTTTGGGCTCCGGAAAGTTGTGTTTTTGACAACGTTTTGATGTTTTTTAGATTTCAATGATGAATCTGGAAAACAATCAGCAGATTCATCAACCGTGGAAATAATAATTACACTGCAACCCTTGTCTCTATTTATGGTTGTGGCATTTTATCATCCAAAGCATCCAAAGGCGTAGGTATTATATAATTTCCTGTTCACATGTTTACTTTTTTTAGCAAAAAAAATATGAATTTAGATTTAAAGGAAACCCAGTAAAACAAAAGTCAGTGGTGGTAAAAGTTGAAGCATAGATACTGATTATCAGACTCCTTGATGTCAGGAGCCTTTAGGTCCACTGGTCCCTCATACATAGACGTCCATAGTGTTGAGGATCATGTGCCGACAGAGCGGACAGTTCTGTTGGTAGATGGGTTGCCTCAACAGGATGTTTGTACAGTCTCTACACAAGCAGAGGTGTCTGCACGGCAGCAGCACCACCGTCTTGTTACAGTCCTGACAGATCACACACTTCTTCCTGTCCTCCTGCTCCTTCAGTAGAGTCAGCAGATTCTCAGCAGGCAGAGGTTTGCTGCCTCTGCCTGGAGACGACACCTTCTTCAGTGGTCTGTCTGTACTCGAGGAGGGGAACGCTAAATCCAGCATCTCTTGGTGGGCTCCGTCCCCTGCTCTTCCGTCTGGTGGGCCCCGCTGCTCTTCTCTGGGGTCGCCGTCCCCTCGCGCTCTGTTGTTGTTATCCCTATGGAGGTGCGTCCTCAGCGCCAGGCCTATTTGGCTGCTGTGTCGAGACAGCTGCTGCCAGAGTCGTGTCTCCAGCAGGTAGAGGTGATGGAGTATCCTTCGAAGACGTCGCATGTTACCACGCAGCATATGTGGGAGACCCTGCACGGCTGAAGCGAGGCGGCAGAGAGCAAAATGCAGTCTGTGCAGAGCTTGAAAAGAGTTCATGTATTCCAGAATTAGTGCAGCAGCCCGTCGGGTCAGCTGTGGGTTCAGGTAGACTGTGGTGGTCAGAGCGATGGTGACAGTGAGCAGGAGGCCGTAGATGTTCAGTATGAAGATGCTGATGAACATGTGCACCAGAGAAACCAGAAAGTCCAACACCAGCTTGCAGGGCGACCACAAGAACGCTGATGTCCCGACCAGACTGCTGTACAGAAAGGTGAAGGAGGTCAGCATCAGCTCCAGCACCTTCTGCAGAGGGCTGGAGACCGTCTGCCACACACTGACCAAAGCCAGGTACACGTTCTGAGTGGCGATGAGTGCGTAGTTTACCACAGTGTTGGTGAAATAGACCACCAGGCTGACAGCGATGCCGCAGCCCTCCAGCATGGACAGCAGACCCCGACACAGGTGCTCCTTCCCGCGGAGGAGGACGTGCATGGACAGGTAACCCACCATCTTCAGGCTCTCCAGCAGCCCCTCCAGGGCCAGCACCAGGCTCCCCAGCATGGTGACGGAGCCCTGGGCCACGTTGGAGGTCGCCTCTGCCAGGGACACCAGGCAAAAGACAAGGAAGTTCCCCAGCTCCAGCACTGAGGTGAGGAGGAGGGTGGGCAGGCTGGTGATGAAGGTGACCAACGCCAGCAGAGTCCGCACCACGGTGTGGACGACGAGAAAGTTCAGGTCCAAGAGGAGACAGGCGGCGTCCAGACATTTTCCAACCGTGGAGAGGACAAAGTTCACCAGCCCCATGGCGCCCTCTCTGCTGCTGATCTGTACTCAGCGTGTCTCCAGTGAAGTTCGTTTACTAACCGACACACTTGGATGTCACATCTTGTTCAGGCCGACAGCTCGTCCGGTGCGTTAGCCGAAACCATCAGCCACCCCCCGCTTCGTTTCACCATGAACTGCTTTATGTTTCATGTTCGATCCATGTCTGCTCGGTGAACAGGACGAGCCCACACAACAAACACACGCGCAACAGAGGCGGATGTTTGGTTTCAAACGAGAGAGGCACACTTCCGTTTCGCTTCTCTGTGTAGTTTTCTTCTCTCCGGTCAGAGAATGACCCAGAGAAGTTTCATCAGCTCACAAAGACGTTTTAAAAAGTTTCAAACCGTAAAAATCCACCGACGGAATCAAGAGAGACGAAGAAAAACACAAATACGCTTCGATGTTGTTACCTCCGTCGCCATATTTGTTTTGGTCGCGTCAGCTGACCTAAGCTTCTCTTTCCGGTTTCCGGTGAGTCTACAAAATAAAATGATTTACATCTTTGAATAGAGAGGAGTTAATGTTGTACTGTCAGGTTTCACTTTCACAGATTTTTTAAAAACATGAACTAATAAGCTAATAATCTAATAAGAATACTAATAATGCTTGTAAAGTTATAAGACGTAAACACATAATAACACTATTGTATTACTGTAGTTAGCTGAGGTGAGGCTACTCTGATCTGCAGCATGGTGTAGTTATGTATGTAACACAGTAGAAAAGATTCAAGATTTAAGAGGTATTATTGTCATTGTACAAGAAAAAAAACAAAAAAAGCAATGCGATTAAATGTACAGCAGGTTTAAAATGTGCAGATTTAAACAGTTGAATACAATAAAAAAAAACTGTTCTTTATTTTAGTAACCTGGTTGGGGGGGTGCTGGCTCAATCAGGACCGATTGATATACAGCTACAGGGGTGTGTGTGTGTGTGTGTGCGTGTGTGTGTGTGTGTGTGGGGGGGGGTCTATCCTTCTTGTTTAGACGGCTAGCATATACCGTGTCCAGAGTCGGGAGCTTGGTTCCCATGATCCTCTGTGCTGTCTTGACTACTTAGTCTCTCCGGTTCTCAGCTGTGCAGCTTGTATACCACACGGTGGCGCTTTGGCAGAGAATTGTCTCTATGGTGCTCCTGTAGAAGTTGACAGGGAGCTTTGGGGGGAGTTCTGCTTTTTTGAGTTTCCTCAAAAAGAAGAGCCTCTGTTGAGCTTTCTTCACCAGGTAGGAGGTGTGAAGGGCCCATGTCAGACCCTCTGTGATGTGGATTCCCAGGAACTTGTCATTCACACTCTCCACTTCCCCACCATTTATGTGAAGAGGGGGAGGTGTGGTCTTCCTGGTTCTCCTGAAACCAGCGATGATCTCTTTGGTTTTTGAGGTGTTGAGGACCAGGTTATTGTCAGTGCGCCACTCAACCAGATGTTGTACTTCCTCTCTGTAGAGCACCTCCTCATTGTCTGAGATCAGTCCTACTATAGTGGTGTCATCAGCAAACTTCACTATGGTGTTAGAGGAGTGGATGGGTGTACAATCATGAGTGAACAGGGTGAAGAGAGCAGGACTGAGCACACAGTCCTGCAGTGCTGCTGGATTCACAGTGATGGTGGAGGATGTGTGGTTGCCCATCCTAACAGTTTGTGAGGAAGTCCATAATCCATGAACAGAGTGTGGTGGAAAGTCTGAGGTTTTTGAGTTTGTTTACCAGTTTGTGGGGGACTATTGTGTTGCATGCGGAGCTGAAATCAACAAATAGCATCCTGGTGTATGTATTTGAATGCTCCAGGTGGGACAGGGGTGTATGAAGTGCTGTAGAGACAGCATCCTCTGTAGATCTGTTTTCCCAGTTGGCAAACTGGTGGCTGTCCAGATCAGTGGAGATGTTGACCTGTGGGAAAGCACAAGTCTCTCAAAGCACTTCATTGCAATTGGTGTCAGGGCTATTGGGCGACAGTCATTGAGGTCTCTGAAAGTTTGTTTTTTGGGCACAGGGGTGATGTAGGTGGATTTGAGGCATGTGGGGACCACAGACTGTTGCAGGGAGAGGTTGAAGATGTTGGTAAACACCCTTGCTAGTTGGTCGGCACATGATTTCAGGATTCAACCTGATACCATGTCTGGTCCTGCTGCTTTGGTGATGTCAATCTTCAACAGAGTGGATCTCACCTGGTGGCTCTGTAGGACGAGTCCAGGCTCCTCCCTTGGTGGTGTTTTTGTTATTTCCACTCTGCTGGTGTCATTGTCAAAATGAGCAAAGAAGTGGTTCAGGACATCAGGAAGGGTGGTGTCATGGCTGGTCTGTGAGGTGTTGTTCTTGTATTCCGTCAAGACTTTATTATTCTTCCCAGTTTGTGTTTTCAAAACAGTCCTGCAGCAGTGAAGTGGATTCTTCCCTCCAGACTTGGACAGTTTCAACAGTTGGTCTTGTTCTGCAGATTAGAGGTTTGTAGGATGGGGTCAATTCCAGTGAGATGTGGTCTGATAGGCCATGGTGGGGGGATGGTGCCGTTTTATATGCGTCCGGGACATTTGTGTAAACCTGATCAAGAATGTTCTTTTCTCTGGTTGGAAAATTTACATTTTTGTGCAGTTTGGGCATTAAAAAATGAGGCCCACGTGTACATAATAAAAACAGAAAAGCAATGCTGACAACATCACAGCATTCCTCTTATAAATAAATACCTAAACAATTAAAAGATACAATATACTGCACATGTGAATTTGGACAGTAGCGATCTACAGTTTGTCAGCAGTGAAACAACCTCATCTAACTTGTTTGTGTGTGTGTGTGGGGGGTGTTTCCAGGATTTTCCATTCTTCCCAACCTTTGGCCATTTGCACACAATCTCATGTGTTGATCTATTCTCTCACCCCAGCTGCTTCAGTGACAATGAAACATAAAAGCTTTACAATGGTGAACAATATGAAAACTTCCTTCCTTGCCATGTGCTTGATCCTCCTGATGGATCCCTTCAGCATTCAGCCTTCTTTTCCTTGCGAAGGGGAAACTGGACACGGCCAGATTGGCTGTTTCCCCCCCATTCAAATCTTTGTGCTCTGTGCTGACTGTAGGTACATATTTACACTACAGACATGAGAGTGGTATTGATCTTGTCATCGAACTCTCAATAAGAAAATTCAATGCACAAACTCTGAATATGACTATTCTCCTAAAGCCTTTTCCACACTGTCATGATAGGGTTGTATATTTTAATTTAATTTCATATCTTAATGGACATAATGGACACAAAAATGAACATAAAGCTGGGGTTTCAGCATCACCAATACTGGGCTGGAAATATGCAGCATTCAGAGTTTGTTTGTCAACTGTCACTATCACAACCAAACTGAGCGGGGACAAAAGAGTCATTGCAGGAAAAGAGGACAGGATGTCTCCTCCACTGAGAGAAACTACAGGAGGGTAATAAATACCTTTGCATGCTTAGTGGGAGGGGGCTGCAAGTTATAAGAACACAGATTCTCCTATGTTCTTTGCTCATTTGTGCATGTCATTCAGGTGATGTGTACTGATGAGTCCATCTGCAGATGCTGAATTAAACTTTCAGAAAGAAGTGTTTGACTTTGTGCTTGTTTCACATAAATTGCCACCACAAGTCGTCTTCTCAAGACCTTGTCTTTACATCTGCAGGATGTCCATGAGTCTGCAGGATGTAGTAGCAGCTTCCTGCTGCATGAGTCATTATTCCACCTCTGTACCAAAAAAATAACCTCAGAGGGATCCTTTGTTTAGTCACTGATAGGGCTGCTGTTGACGATTCTTTAATATCTGATCAATCTGATGTTTTTCAATCACTACATTAATCATTTAATCATTCTGCAGCCAACAATTACTAACATTATCAATAGTTGTTCGTCTTTTATGTGAATTGATTGATAATTTAGTCTATCAAATGATTTTGAAAGAGGTCCTGCTAAAACCGAAAAAACCTTCACAGTGCCTTCATGTGATCTCACAAGATGATGCTACGATGATGTTTTGGTCTGCAGCCTACTAATCAAGCAAAAGTTTTGAGGAAACTATCCTGGAAAGAGTGCCTAACAACTCGTCTCCTCAGGAATGGTCATTAAACGTTAGGAAAGAACAAATAAATGGTCATTAAAAGTCAATGTTAAGATTTTAGAGGCGGATACATCTCATAGAAATGAAGCAGTTCACTCTCAAACATAAACCTAATCTTTCAAGGCGTATGGCTGCTGCATAACTCTTGAAACCTAAGTTTGACTTTGGAGACCTTGTGCTTCTAATTCATAATTCCTTATGAAATGAGCTGTTGTAGTATCTTCTTAAGCTTAATAAGAAATCTGAATTGCCCAAAACAAATGATATCAGATCAGGTTCTATGTGTTTTGACAGCATTGTAGAGAGTGAGTTAAAGACTCCAGATCATCAACAACCTACTGTTTAATAGACTTATCATTTCAGTAAAATAAAGCATGAAAGCAAGATGCAATTTGCTATGTCAGGTGCTTCTTATTTTTAGTAGTTGAAACATGATCTTTCAATCATTAAAAGTGGACGCTGCATATAGAGGCCTGAGTGCTCCTGCAGCGGCCGCAGGTTCGGTTATGACCCAGCCCTTTGCTGCAAATCTTCCCCGTTCTCTCCTACCATTTTACACTTAAAACATTCATTCATTTCATGTCGTAAACTACTTGATGAATTCAATATTAATCAAACACAAGCATAGGAAAGGAAACCATACAATGATACACCATTGCATCATGATTTTATTATGTGACAACTTTCACAAAGCAAGATCTGTCGCTGTGGACAGGCTTTATTTTGAAGAATGAAAGCTACTCAATATATGCTGCAAAACTCTCAATTCTACTTTTATTGGCACATTCCTGATTCAATCTCCTTTATATTTAAATGTCCAGTGTGTAAGATTTAGGGGAAAGGGATCTATTGGCAGAAATTGAATATAAAATAATCCTAGTGATGTTTTCTCTAGTGTGTTTCACCTGTATTGTACGAATTGTTGTTTTCTTTACCCCAGAATGGGCCCTTCACATTTAAATACTTTATATTTACATTGGGAGCTAGTCCTCTCCACGGAAGCTGCCATGTTTTTTACAGTCAACCAAACTGGACAAACTAAACACCTTTTGAGTTTTTCTAACAACTGAAAGCTACCATAGGTTCTCATGTTTGGAAGGGGAGCGTGAGGTGAAGGGTATTCAGCTGCAACATGCAACTACACCACTAGATGTCACTAAATTCTACACAGTGAACCTTTTAGGAAGCGACTTTCTTTATTATCTCATGTTTCAAGATCCAGACACTAATTTTTGGAAACATCTTGAAACAAGAAACAAGGCGAAAGTGTCTCTCTCTCATGTTCTAATTTCCCTGTGGTTTGTTATCGCCCCAAGCAAAGATCAAAATTCTCATCATTAATCTGAAGTCATTAGAATTTATTAGCCTAATGTTT